ATTATAATCATAAACGCACTAGTTTGTAATGCAAATAGTTTTACCGTTTACTGCACTCATCAGACCAGGCAACCTTTTTCCAGATCTTCTATAGTCCAATTTTGGTGAGCCCGTGCAAATTGTAGCTTAAGTTTCCTGTTCTTCGCTGACAGGAGTGGCACCAGGTGTGGTCTTCTGCTGCTATTGCTCATCTGCTTCAAGGTTCGACGTGTTGCGTGTTGTTTGAGTTACTGTTGCCTTTCTATCAGCTCAAGCTAGTCTGGCCATTCTCTTCTGACCTCTGGCATCAACAAGGCATTTTCGCCAACAGAACTGCTGCTCGCTGGATATTTTCAGACCATTCTCTGTAAAGAGATGGTTGTGCATGAAAATCCCAGTAGATCAGCAGTTTCTGAAATACTCAGACCAGCATGTCTGGCACTAACAACCATGCCATGTTGAAAGTCACTTAAATCACCTTTCTTCACCATTCAGATGCTCAGTTTGAACTTAAGTAGATCTCCTTGATTATGTCTACATACAGTACCTAAATGTATTGACTGGCTGCCATGTGATTGGCTTATTAGATATGTGTGTTAACGGGTGTAGCTAAAAGTGGCTGGCGAGTCACTTTTTGTTTTATTATTATTTTAATTCTTAGGCTCTCTTAACCTCTAAACTGATGTATTTCATGTAGGTGTGGAACTTCCAAGAATTAATTACAATTTCAATGGAAAGAAGTACAGATATTCGTACATGTGTTGTGTGGACATATCCCCAGTGGCCACAAAGGTATCGACCATTTTCATTTTTACAGTCCATTTATGAACCTCGCAAAATTCCAAAATAAACATTTTGTCAGTAAATGTATTCCATAAAACTCAAACCCATGTCCGTGGCAAGGCTGGTGGCATATTCTACCAGTTGAGCTGCAGGAACAATTTGCAATCAGTATTGAGCACTTACTGTTTTTTGCAGATTGTAAAGTTTGATGCTGAGACAAAGCAGAAGATTGAGTGGACTGGAGGAGACTGTTTTGCCTCTGAGCCTGTTTTCATTCCCAGGCCAGATGCAGTTGATGAAGATGATGGTTAGTTACTGTCTTCATAATAATTTGTGTGAGGTTTGTGCTTCTGACCAAATCAATCACATTCAACTGGATTACATTCTCGGGGGAAAAAAATGTCAATTACATTAAATAGCTTTTCATTTTAAGTGATTTTTAATTTATCTTAACACTAAGCTGTTTGCTGTCTCTTTTCTTAATTTTTAGGTGTTGTCCTGACATGTATCATAAACGCCAAACCTGTGCAGGGTGGCTTTCTACTGGTGCTTGATGGCAAGTCTTTCAAAGAGGTCTCCCGGGCATGTATAGATGTAGATTTCCACATGGACATGCATGGCTACTTCATACCAGACAGTAGTTAAAGCTTTGATGTATGCCAGCTATACAGGCGTAATGACAGAGATAGAGAATCTCCTGTAAATTTTGGTATTTTGATAATCTGGTTACAAAGTTGTCAAAGACATTGTGTCACATTGAAGTCACATTTTGTGATTGACTGTATACAGTGGTGTTTGGAAGTTGTTGGTGTATTTCTTGTTTGGGAAAAAATATATGCATGTATAAAATGTACTGTTTGAAAGGTCATTAATTGTAATATCAAACAGAAATGAGAACTGTTGTTCTGTCTTTTTTTTGCGTTTGCATACAGAAATCATAAAGTGAAGTTATTTCTGTCATGGTTATAGCCAGTGTTTGAACTGTGCTGAAGCGCATTCAAAATACTGTATGTTAAAAAATACAAATAGGCTACACCCTTTTAGTACAGTGCAACTGTGCTTTATTGTTGGCTTAAAGTCATGTTATTGCGCTAGAAATATCACCACACAAGCAAAGTAATTATAGACTGGAAGGCCTAGCTTTATTTTGTTCATGAATTATGTATGCAACTAGTTAAAAGTTTGAATGCATCTAGGCTACTTATTATTACCATTTTCCACATTTTATAATAATAACTATGAAACAACACCGGTGTACAGACTTGAATCTGTTGTGAAATCTGGAAAAGAAAACAAAAACTCATCATGCGGGCATAATGTCATATTGTGAAAAAATGATCGTTAACATTCGTGTCTCTCCGTGTCTTTAGCCTCAAGTGTTGTGTAGACATCTAATCGCGCGGTCTTCGTCCAGTCTGACTGATGGAGAGACGCGAATCACGCAAGTGTTGAAGGTGAAGTTTCCTCAAGCTTCATCGCTCAAGGTTGTGGATATATCAGGTCAGTCCTGACTTCAGATCTGAATAGTCAGTCAGGAAATGCATGTATGTTTGCTGTAATGTCTTTGGGTTCATTTCAGGAGGCTGTGGTGCAATGTACGAAATACACATCGAGTCCGATGAATTTAGAGGAAAGAGAACAGTACAGCAGCACCAGTTAGTCAATCAGGTAAAAGTCAAATCGGACATAATTAGGTGCAGTAAACAGTTCTATAATAGTTTTACTTAAATGGTCATGTGGTGTGAAGTTGTTTTTCAAAGTACAGACTTTAAATGCAATTTCTCAATTAATGCTCGTCCTGAAAGCTGTATGCATAATAATTACTGAAAATCCATTGATTTAATATCACTCGAGCAAGCCTTATTGAAGCATGACTGTGAGTGGTTTTTATACAACTGTTCAGTAAAAATCAAGTTAAAGGGAGAGTACATGACATGATTCTGCAGAACACAAAAGAGTTGTCCATACAATGAAAGTCAGTGGGGTCCAGTGTTGTTGTTGGTGATCTTTTGTGATCTGCAGAAAGAAAGTAAGTCATACAGGTTTTATTACATGAGTTTGCCAAAATATGGCCTTGTAGTTCCCGTTTTCTCCCCCACCATCAATGAAAAGAGTTCCAAAAAAAAAAAAGCCAAAGCAACATACTGTACAAACACATACAAATGTATTTGTATTTGTATGTAATTATTTGAGAAGCAGCAGTTTCCTCTCCTCTCCTCTTTCCTTTTCTTTTCATTCCAGCTATCCAAACAGGATGCATTAATAATAGACTTATTTGTCTGATTTTTTTTGTTTTTGTGTTAATATGTGCAGTACTATGGCCTTTTACACAAAGCCGGTAAAAGTGGCTACCCAGGTAAGTTTGAGATTAGTTTGAGCAAAGTTTGTTTTTAAGGCTCTTAAAGACATATTAGTTTTTAGCTGGGTTCATCACTAAGGTAACTTGCACAACATGACTATCCTATCCAGAAATATAGGTTTAATTCTGGGTAAGAGATCGCAAACCAAAATTGGACCAATCAGCTATGAGCAAAGTGACATCTGATACAATAAAGCTACTCCCCCTGTATCTCTTGCTAAAAAATTAAAGCACTTCACAGTGAAAGAATTTTAGAGACAAAATAGCCTTTTCAAACTTTCATGGCAGCGACAGTGTTTTTTTCTTGGACATTTACCATAACAAGCTCTTGACCTTCAACAGAGAAGTGAATTGCATAAACTCAGTGAGAACCCACTGAACCAGATCTAACCTGGATTTGTTTGAATTTTGTCAACTCTAAACCTACTCTGTGTTTGTTCAACCAGCTTTGTGTAACAGGCCACTGGTCTCATCTTATCAATTGTCTGTCTGACTAATTCATTACTGTAGTTATAACATTAGAGATCACAAAATAAAATAGTCATTAAAATAGTATTCAGTGTAAATCATAATCTTTGGTTTGTTGTTCAACAGGCTCTTAAAGATGAGATTAAAGACATGCATGGTCTATGCATTTTCACTGATGTTCCTAGAAAATAGGAACTGCTCAGCGTCATTCTCACATCATGTCAGTCTGCCGTCTCACTACAATATTATATCACAATCCCACAACCCAGTCTCTCAGTCCGTCTCTCTTTTTAAAGTGAATTATAACAGTGGCAGATAAATACTTTACAGATGTTATGAATAAAAGATGTACAGTTAGATATGGTTCACAAATGCTGTAATACGCACAAAATAAAAGACTGTCATGTTGTTTTTGCTGTAAATGAGAGTGTGAAAGTAAAATGTAAATGAGAGTGCAAGGCATGTGGATGGTTTGAATCTTCAGTCATCGTTCAGTAGTTTATTGATCCCATTGTTTGTGCACAATTACACTTGAAGTAGCTTTGTCAGTTACCTGATTTAGTTCTGTTCTGCTGTTGATCCATTAAATTATATCCCATCCTTTTCCCTTGTGTGGCAGAAGACTGATTGTATTCTAGGACAAGCAAACCAATAATGATTATTTACATTTTTTTGTTTTGTTTGTTATGTAATTTCTTAGATGCTTGTATTTTTTTAATGAACTGCATGGACCATTTTCACCACTAGATGTCATTTTTTGTGGTTTGTAACAAAAAAAGCATTTCATTTTTGGTATTTTGATTTGTTTTGCCAATTTAATACAGGTACAGTGATCTCATTATATAGAGAACTATGTTCTGAATCCTCCTTATCAAGTATTTATTTATTTATTTTGTAGGCTATTACTAGTTTTACGGTACTGTAGCTTATTTGGGTACCGTATGTGACATGATGTTCTGCTTTCCAGTGTGAAGCATTCAATTAGATTAATTTTAGCGAATCGGTTCGTTCGGACAGTTCGTTTCAGTGGTTAAAAATCTTTAAATCGATATGGCAGAAGTCCATATTTCGGCGTAGTTCTTAGTATCGACGTAAATATTTAGTTAAATATTCCTGTTTATTATTGTACTTGCGGATTAAATGTATACACACAGTATCTTTAGTTTCAGTGAACCGGCCGTTTCAATAACTGATCTATCGACTCACTTGAGAAACTTAAAAGTGTTTGTGTTTGTTATTGTTTTTGGAGGGGCAAAAATATTTACTTCAACTGTTTAGCGCTTTATTTTCGAAAAAGTCTCATACATTGTCCGATAATCTCTTTAACAGTCCAGTGATTTGCATATGTGCGAATCGGTTCCAATGAACGGTTCGAAAGAACGATTCGAACATCACTAGTGGATGTTGCGGCAGGAGCAGACCGCAGTCTCTGGGAGGGCTTCGGCAGACCGTTAGGCTGTTCACATCACCTTCAGACATGGCAAAGGAAGGGACTGAGATTGCTGAAGAGACCGAGGAAATGATAGACCAGAAGGAGCCGGATAATCCCGTTTCTGCGGTTGTAGATTCAAAAGAAATGCGGGCTGTGCTGCTCACGGGCTTTGGTGGTCTAAACAAACTCAAAGTTACCAAGAAACCAATGCCAGAGCCTCAAGAAGGAGAAGTCAAAATTCGCGTGAAAGCATGGTAAATATCTCAGCTTGAACAGTCTTTTTTTCAACATGCGTAATAACTGATGTGGCACATCTGAGGGTTCGCACGACTGGCAGCAGCAGCAGCAACATGTTGCCTTCATCTAATAGCCATAAAAGTAATGTTATTTAGGATTTAAATATTTCATGATATGAATGTTGGTGGTTTTGGAGGTTCGATGCTGATGTAAGTAAATCGTCAGAAAAAAAATAGCACTTGTTGGTTCTTCTGCGGAGATCAGCATACACTGCAGGGATTTCAAACCATATGCTGTACAAGGTTACACGTTTTAATGTGTACTTTGGGTTATTAAATTATATGAACAAAACATTAACAGTTTTGTGTCACATTTAGAAATATATTCCGAGCAGATCCTCATCTATTTGATGCTTGCTGTGCTTGACTGCTCTTTGGACATTTAAACTTAATATCGTGGAACTATAAAATATATATAAATTGTTGTTGTGTATGGTGAACCTGATAAATGTAGGAGTTCAGAATACTTTGTTATTACATTAATGATTAAAATGAACTAGAATTAATTATCACATTATCTTGACATCAACATTTAATTTTACAGTGGACTGAACTTTCTTGATTTAATGGTGCGTCAAGGAAATATTGACAATCCTCCAAAAACGCCTCTTGTGCCTGGATTTGAGTGTTCTGGGATTGTAGAGAGTGTTGGAGAAAACACCAAAGGTTTTGAGGTATGTGCAGAAATGTTTTAAATGCTGATATGTTGGTTGTGTACTTATTCAGGAATATATTGTTTAGCACTTTTCTAACCTTTCATAAAAATGTATATTGTTTGAATTGAAAAAAAAAAAAAAAAAAATAAAGTCCAGGCCTGGTCCTCTCTCGTCTTTCACTGTCGTCACTCCTCCTTTTTATCCTTCTGGAGCTCCTCCGTGAGACTCGAGACCGGTGAGTGGCGCAGGTGTCGTGCATTAGCATTTCCTCCACCGGCCTCGCTCCGTTCCCACGGCTCTCTGCCTCGCCCCTCTCGTCACATACCCACATCGCCCCTTGCAGGCCGGGGGGTACTCACGAGACTGCGCTCTACTCCCCTCTCCCGGGGTAAGGACAGACAGACGAGGTGAGAGAAAAGGAGACGGAAGGATGAGGAGAGACAGAGATGAGAGAGGAAAAAGAAAAAATATCGTTCCGGTTCCCAGACACACTGCCGCTCGGCCCTCCACCAGCTGGGTAAACTCTTCCACGATGCCTGGCGGCGGCACTGAATAGCCCTCGGTGGACGGCCCAACACTCCTCCGCCGCCTGGTGGACGGCGACGGCTCCTCTGGGTTCGGGCAGCCGGCAGGAGTCCCCCGTTCCCTGCTCCTCCCCATCATGGCGGATGGCAGCAGGCTCCGGCCTCAGGCAAACGGCGGTGACTCCTCTGCTCCCTTACGGACGGCAGCCGTCTCTCCACATCCCAGGCGGCCAGCAGCGAGTTCGTCCGCTCCCCCGGCAACTCACTGCAGCCCACCACCTCGAGCGTCCACGGCGGCAGACTGTTCCGCCATGCTCGATGGCACCGTGGATTCACCACAGCGGCGAGGGATCTCTGGCAGCGTGTCCCTCCTTCCTCCCGGGTTTCGGCACCAATGTAACAGTTCGTAGTTCCGGAAGGAGGAGGCGGGAACCGGCGAACATTTTAACACTAATAAAATAAACCAACACAAAATTAAAGGAAAGCGGCAGCCCCCCGGGGACGGCTGCCGCACACAAAACACAAAATAAAGTCCAGGCCTGGTCCTCTCTCGTCCAACACTGTCGTCACTCCTCCTTTTATCCTTCCGGAGCTCCTCCGTGGGACTTGAGACCGGTGAGTGGTGCAAGTGTCACGCATTAGTATTTCCTCCACCGGCCTCGCTCCGTTCCCACGGCTCTCGGCCCCGCCCCTCTCGTCACACCTGGTTTTATGTCTGGTGTCCTGGTGTCTAAAATTATTGATAATAATAATAGAGTTTGAAGGAATAGTTCACCCATAAATGAAAGTTTGCTGAAGATTTACACACCCTCAGGCCATCTAAGATTTTGATGAGTTTCTTCACTGGAACAGATTTGGGCCACTTGCTCACCAGTAGATTTATTGCAGTGAATGGGTGCCGTCAGAATGAGAGTCCAAACAGCTGATAAAAACATCATAAAAATCTACAAGTATTCACACCACTACAGTCCATCAATTAACATCTTGTGAAGCAGAAAGCTCTGTGTTTGTTAGAAACAAATCCAGAGTTTTAACTATAAACCAGTGCTTCTGGCCAAAATGATTGAAGTAAACTCTTCCGCGATGCCTGGCGGCGGCACTGGATAGCCCTCGGTGGACGGCCCAACAACTCCTCCGCCGCCTGGTGGACGGCGACGGCTCCTCCGAAATAACGCTTCCTCCAGTGAAAAAGTCCATCCCCTGTTGTCCTCCCACATCAAAATCCACCAACATATTTGTTTAGAACGGTTATGAACTATTTCTGCTTATAAACGGTGCTTGATCTGTGCATATTTCTATCCTGACTCATCAGACGAGACAACCTTTTCATTGGAGAAAGCATATAATGGATAGAGGATTTGTATTTTAGCTGGAAGCAATGGTTTGGAGATAAAAAATGTTTTAATGATGGATGTGTTTGGTACAAACACACAGCTTTTCATTTCAGAAGATGATAATTGATGGGCTGGAGTCGTGTGGATTACTTGTGATGTTTTTATCAGCTGTTTGGACTCTCATTCTGATGGCACCCATTCACTGCAGAGGACCCATTGGTGAGTAAGTGATGTAATGCTACATTTCTTCAAATCTGTTGAAAAATAAACGCCTGAGGGTGAGTACATTTTCAGCTAATTTTCATTTTGGGGGAACTATTCCTTTAAGGACATGTTTCGCCTCCTTTCAGATAGGTGACAGAGTGATGGCTTTTGTAAACTACAATGCTTGGGCAGAGGTGGTGTGCACACCGTTGGATTTTGTGTATAAGATCCCAGACGACATGACATTCCCAGAGGCGGCTGCCTTCTCTATGAACTTTGTGGCTGCCTACATGATGCTGTTTGAAGTGGCCAATCTCCGGGAGGGGATGTCTGTATTAGTTCACTCAGCAGGAGGTGCAGTGGTAAGTCTGTTGCTTTGAGGGAAAGGTTTAGTAAAGAAACGCTGAAGTCGCAGATATTAAAGTTATGCTTATTTTAGCTTATAGAAAAATGGGAATTTGGACACAAAACATCATCGTACTGATCCAGTATTGATATTCAGCTTTCCAAGTTTAACAAGTGAAAATCAAAACAGCTTTATTATTTGGCTTATGGAGGAATATGATCAAAATTATTTCAAAACTGTGACAAAAACTATTGATTTTCTCCTCTTTTTCCATATTAGGGTCAAGCAGTCGCTCAACTTTGTTCCACTGTCCCGAACGTCACTGTGTTTGGGACTGCCTCACCCTTCAAACACGAAGCCATACAGCATTCAGTCACTCATCTGTTTGACAGAAACATCGACTGCGTTCCAGAAGTTAAGAAGTAAGCACAAATGCTGTTGTTGCCGTTATGTAAAGGTAAACGAGCGTAGAGAAACAGGATTGGTTAGATGATGAGAATATAAAAAATGAGTCATACTGGGAGGATAGTGCAATCTGAGAAGGCAGACGTCACCAGTACTTCCTCCAGACCTGTGTGGCTCCTGTCCCCATGGCAACACCCAGCAGATGGGAAGGTAGTGTGTTGTAGTATGGGGAGGGGCACCTGTACGTCCTTCTGATCAACCACACAAAGCCAGAAAATGTGCAGCAACTGACTCATTCAGAGCCAGCCGCAACAAATTTGAGTGAACTTTATTTTGTAGAAGATTTAAGGGCGGGTGTCTAAAAGTTCCTATGGTGGATCTCATTTGTAATGCATCTTTTGTTCATTTTGTATTGGTTACTTTTACAAAACAAAGTACTGTAGCAAGACCATGGTGCAGTAATGGTAAAAACATCATGGTAATTCTAAAATACAAAACAGCAACAACAACATTTTCTTGGTTTATGTCTAGAATGATAGTACTTGGTACTTTTTTTTGTTATTCTAACAAAATATGTATTTTATTGAAGTGATTTAATGCATGTTTATGTTCAGACTAAGCCAGAAAATGTGCAGCAACTGATTCAGTCAGAGCCAACTGCAACAAATTTGAGGAAACACTTTTTTGTAGATTTATGGACTGTTGTCTAACGTTTCCTATGGTGGATCTCTAAAGCATGTTTTCTCTATTTTTATTGGTTTCCCTTACAAAAAAGTTATTATGGCAAGACCATGGTAATTCTAAAATACACAACATAGTTTGGTTGAAGTCTTGAATGGTAGTACTTGATGCTTTGTGTTAGTTTTATTTTAACAAAATATATGTTTTATTGAAGTGATTTGAGCTTGGTGCATGTTTTTGGTCGAACAAAGCCAGAAAATGTGCAGAAACTGACACATTCAGAGCTAGCCGCAACAAATTTGAGGAAATGTTTTAATATTATTATTAACATTTTTAATATTTAGGTGCTTTTGTCTAACAATTCCTATGGTGGATTTCATTTGTAAACAATATATTACTACCTTGGTTTATATTTAGAAAACTATGGTAGTATTTGGTATTTTTGTGTTATTTTAACAAAGTATGTTTTATTGAAGTGATTTGATCTTGCTGCATGTTTATGTTCAAACTAATTCACGTAAATTGAGTATGAGAGAGGAGATTAGCACTCTTTTCATCTCTGTGGTTCCACATTCCAGTCAGGATCAGGGGCAAAGCAAAATTAAATTGGACTCAAGTTGGTCTCGCTTCCACAAAAGGCAGGACCCCGGGCATCACAAGACCTCCTAATGGTTAAGCTTTGTAGGCGGTCCAAGAACCATGAAGACAGGAACGCATTAGAGCCCAATGTTTATAAAGACATACCTCTCATTCCTTATCAGCTGAGACACTGAACAATATTCAATATTAGCGTATTATTAATATTCCAAATTTTCAGAGGCCCCCATTTAAGCAGCCTACCAGTGCTTGGAGCAGCAATATGGTTAATGATGTCTCTTTTCTTATGCAGGATATCTCCAGATGGAGTAGATATTGTACTGGACTGTTTGTGTGGGGAGAACACAGGAAAAGGCCTAACTTTGCTCAAGCCCATGGGAACGTACATTCTCTATGGTTGGTACAAACAGATGGAAGAGCATTTACATAATACTGAAATTAATTAAACATTTCAAAGATGTGAAAAAAATGCACACAAAATGAAAAATCAGTATGACTTTCTGTCTTCCGTGGACCACAATTTTGAAGAATGTTCTTGCAGTTCTTTAGCTTATGAGAAGCATTCAGTGACCAGAAGCTATAAAGCTTCAGAAACGACAAAAAAGTAGGTAGCAACACTTTAGAATAGAGACCACATATTCACTATTAACTAAGATTTTTCCCTTAATAAACTCCTAATTTGCTGCTTATTAATAGTTAGTAAGGTAGTTGTTAAGTTTAGGTATGGGGTGGATTAAAGGGTTAGTTCACCCAAAAATTAAAATGAGGCTGCGTTTTACTCACCCCCGAGGCATCCTAGGTGTATATGACTTTCTTCTTTCAGACGAATCCAGTCGGAGTTATATTAAAAATTGTCTTTGATCTTTCAAGCTGTTTCATGGCACTCAGCGGGTGTTGCATTGCTTCAGTCCAAAAGAAGTTAAATAAAAAGCGCCCATCCATAAAAAAAAGTGTCTCACACGGCTCCGGGGGGTGAACAAAGGCCTTCTGTAGCGAATCGATGCGTTTTTGTAAGAAAAATATCCATATTTAAAACGTAATAATCACTTTAATGTAGCTTGCGCCAACAGTTGTACACAGAAGCAGTTCCGGGAGCATGACAGTGAAAGTTCTGTCATCATTGGTGAGCGCAAGCTAGATTCAAGTGATTATTACGTTTTGAATATGGATATTTTTCTTACAAAAACGCATCGATTCGCTACAGAAGGCCTTTGTTCACCCCCCGGAGCCGTGTGAGACACTTTGTTTTTTATGGATGGGCGCTTTTTATTTAACTTCTTTTGGACTGAAGCAATGCAACACCCGCTGAGTGGCATTAAACAGCTTGAAAGATCAAAGACAATTTTTAATATAACTCCGACTGGATTCGTCTGAAAGAAGAAAGTCATATACACCTAGGATGCCTCTGGGGTGAGTAAAACGCAGCCTAATTTTAATTTTTGGGTGAACTAACCCTTTAAAGGATCTAGAATATGGTAATGCAGAATAAGGCATAATATGTGCTTTATAACTACGAATAAACAGCCAATATGCTAGTAATATGCATGCTAATAAACAACTAGTTAATAGTGAGAACTGGTCCTTAAAATAAGGTGTTACCTAAAAGTACTATAAAAGATCTTCCCTTGTGAAAAAGAAGTACATCTTAGCATACTTTTAAAAAGAAGACTTATGAGAGAAGTGATATACATTAAAGGAATATACTTAAGTGCAAACTAAATGTAATGTTTTCAGGCACTTAACTGCATGTTGTTTACAATGAAATAACAATTTATTTTAGTTTAAATTTATATTCAATTCAATTAGTTTAAATTTAGAGTTATTTTTTGACCCATTTAAGTAGTACGCAAGTACACCTTTATATGTAGTTTCATAATCACTGCTGCTGTCTTTGAAATATGGTTTGAGTATACTGCTGAATGTACTGACAAACATTTATGGTAAACTGAAATATTCTAATGTCATTTCTATTGAAACTTGTATGTCAGGTATTTAAATACATTTGTAATTACACATTTGTTATGATGAAGTTACAATTTAGTACATTTAAAATATATTAACTTTAAATGTAATATCGAATAACACTACAGTTAAAATTATACTCAATATTATTCACATTTTATTCATGTATTTTCGTATACTAGTCAACACATCAAATTAATTATACTTCTTTAAACATGACAAAAGAATATTAAAACAATAAATTTAAACTAATTTAATGTGACATTATTACAAATTAGACATTAATTTGATACTTAAGTGTGTTAGGAAACAGTGTACACTCTTTAAGTACACATAAGTGACCTTATATTTCATCAATGTTATATTATCTGCAAGTACAGTATTTTAAAAGTATATATATTTTAGATTTTACATACACAACAAGTGCATATTCAATACAATCAAGTGCAGTTATTTTTCACAGTTTAATTTGCCTCGTGCACTATATTTCAGTTCTTCTGAAGCTATGATAGATTGTTTGATAAACAAAATATAACACATTATTTACCCATTTGCATTCTTTATTAAACGGTGATGACCAATAATGACAGAACTTTCATTTTTTGCTAACTATTGCATCATGCAATAGTCATGGATTTTAGAGAAAGAGAAAAAAAAAGTAGTAAGATGTCTTTCCCCCTGTGTTGGAAATATCCAAAAGGTTGATTTGTGACCTTCTGACCCTCATTTAAAACCAGTCACTAGACACACAAGGTGTCACATTCTAGGTGGCTAACAGCAAATTGAGGTTAATCACATAATTCACATAAAAGATATTGCCTGACACTTTAATTACTTCAATTCCCTTAGCTTTCTTGTCCATTAGGAATATTCAATTAGAAGGGACACCACAGAGCAGAGACAATGTAAAATTAAGGTTTAAGAACACATTACTGCCAAATGAATGAATCAGCCATCATAATTCTGGATGGACCTTTTTAATAAGAGAGCCATTTGGCATTGCTGTAATAGTGCCATGTTTTATTGCTTCATATGCCAAGATTGTACTTTGTATCTTACAACATTTCATGTCCATTAAAAATGAAATGTGTTATTTCTGAGCCACTTGCACTTGCAAAAATAATGATTGTTTTCAGACATGTTTTCTGAATATTCCCCATCTGCCATTGCTCAGATAGCTTGATAGACTGGTTGAGTCAATAGTGTTTGTTGTGATGCTCAAACAAGCAATGTTTTGAAGGCTTCACAGAGACACAGTGTTACACTCGTCAGAAAAATCAATCAACCTATGAGTGGTTTACTTATAGTTGACTTGACTCTGCAAATTAACCCTATAAAGCCTACTGTTCATATATTATTCAGTCATCATTGTAGTTCATTATATGTTTTGCCTCCACAATAGCAACTACAGCTTTGATCATAAAACCCAGAATTTAATCATCTTCCAAACACAAATTATTGGGAGACATAGAGTGACAACTCATAGTCATATGCATTTCATGTAAGTAGTCTGTTATACTGTTATAAAGATCTAGTTGATTTACATTTACAAGCTATCAGAATTTCATTTTACTTTTTGCCCATAAAAATATCAGCAACTGCACCAAATTTTTTGCTCAGTTTGGGCCTCTGAATAAAATTGAAGTGTTTTTCTTCCTCAAGTGTGAGCTCCATATTCTCCTATATCATACTATATGAGCTATGATGTATCAAATTTGATAATCAACAAAAAACACATACACAAACTTTTTTATATCACCTTTAAAAAAGCTTCTTATATATATATACACATACATACAGTGTTAAAATGTATCTTTGTGATCATATTTCCAGGTTCATCAAACATGGTGACAGGAGAAACAAAAAGTTTCTTCAGTTTTGCTAAATCTGTGAGTGGAGTTTAATGTCTATTTTCCATAAAATTGAAACATCTTAAGTGTTGGTACATGATGTAACTGTTTCATGTTTTGAAGTTTTGGTGGTCAGTTATCATTGTTAAAAAAAATTGTTCTTTATCTCACAGTGGTGGCAGGTTGAGAAGGTGAATCCTATCAAACTCTATGAGGAGAATAAAGTCATGGCTGGATTCTCGCTCCTGAACCTCCTCTTCAAGCAGGGAGGGTGTAACCAAGTCAAGACAGCAGTGCAAAAACTTCTTTCACTTTACGACCAAAAGAAGATCAAGCCTGTTGTTGATTCCCTATGGGCGCTTGAGGAGGTAAGAGACAGCGCTTTCATAAGCAGTCGAATTTTCTTTTAAAAGCTTGAAAAGTGCAATGTAAACATATGACACTCATGTATTTACCGGTTCTAAAGTTTGGAATGATGAAGATTTTGTAATGTTTTTGAAAGGAGTCTCTTATTCTCACTTTGGCTGCATTTATTTGATCCAATATATAGTAAAACTGTAATAGTGTGAAATATTGTTACAATTTAAAATTATATATTTCTATTTAAATCTATTTTGATTTATTGCAATTTCCATTTCAGGATTCTTGGACGAATATAAAGTTCAATAGAACAGCATTTATTTGAAACAGACATTTTTTGTAACATAATAAATGTCTTTTACTGGCACTTTTAAACAATTTAACTTACCCAAACCTTTGAATGGTGTATCATGGTTTCCACTAAAATATTAAGCAGCCAATACTGTTTTCTATATTGATAATAGTAAGATTTTTTTTCTTGAGCTCCAAATCAGCATATTAGCATGATTTTCTGATCATGTGACACAGAAGACTGGCGTAATGATGCTGCAAATTCTGTTTGCATCACAGGAATAAATGATATTTTAAAATATATTAAAAGAGAATACAGTTCTTTAAATTAGTAATATTTTACAATATTACTGATTTTACTGTATTTTTGATCAAGTAAATGCAGCCTTGGTGAGCATGAGAGATTTCTTTCAAAGACATTATAAAATCACATCTAAAATTATTCCAAACTTTTGATCGGTAGTGTATCTGTACTTGAATATTTTACTTTCAGAACTAAAAATCACATTGTTACTCATCTCACAAGCAAGAAGCAAGCCAATCGTAACAGACCGTATTTATATAGAAGCCTTAAAGGTACAGCAGGTCAGAAATGGCCCATTTAATTCAGAGAGGTTTACCATGTAAAGTTAAGAGAGAGTAAAAAAAAAATTTTGCCTGTTTTTAGATCATGAAAAAAAGCAGTAAAGAAAAATACATGATATGATTTCTATGAAATCTTAAAGTCACCTTTAAGTCAATGTGAATTGCCATTCACAACTCATTTTTCATTTTAATGTGAAGTATTTCAGTTTGAAACAATTTTTCAGGTTTCTGTCATCAGTCAAGCAATAAATGTACCTCCTCTAAATCCCTGAAAATTGAATTCCCTGAAGCCCTGAAAGCTTGGCTTTTAAGGTTTGAAAAGTAAGACGCATGCCAACCTCTGTTCCTGCATGTAATCAGCTGCTGTCTCAGAACATCAGATGACAGGTGGGCAGTCGAGGCCTGGTGCATCTTTTTGCTTTGATTATGGCTGGTTTATGTTGTTCTGTTCTTCCTACACAGCCAGACAGCCCTCCCTCTGTGAAACCCAACAGAGCAGCAGTCTGTGGCCAAACCTGCCTGTGTTTTACAGAGCTCTGTGTGATACGCTTCATTCACATTGCAGAAGTCTCTTCGAATTGATTGATAGCACATGGAGTGATTATTGCATTATTAATATTGAAAATGATGGAAAACTGCGATTTCCTGTGTGGTGTGGCGGCACATTTTGCTTCTTGGATTATGCAGCTGTAATTTACTTCTCCTTAGATACTATACTATAAAAATAAAACATCCGAAAGGCTGCAAAAAGCTTCCACGAAAAGTCAATCCTACAATAACGTTTTGGTCTAAAACACTGTAACAATTCAACACTGCACTAAGAATGGCACTTCAGTCAAACATTTAACAACACACTTAGTGTTTTGGGGTATTTTTGACTGCATTGACCAAAACTGGCAAAGATACAGACAAACAACAGACCGAACACATCACACACACATGACACGGAGCTCAGCTCAGGTTCGTGATAGTCTCTGGTTGAGTCTGGCTTCACTGAATGAAGGGCATTCGCTCTTTCTTGTCATTGTCTCCCTCTTGCTCCTCTTCCTCCTCACCTGCTTCCCTGGTCTCTGTGCTGTCATTGGCCATCTGAAAGAGAAATAAAAAATCATTGTGTTTTCACACGGACCGACAGTCTCCTGTTTCTCAGAATCATCTGAGGTGCAGGTAATCTCTTAAACATGCGTCTCCTCTTGCATTTCAGAGAAGATTGCGCACAGATTGCTGTAATCAGATGTCAAAGATCTCAGTTTGAACTCAAACATAGAATACTTCTGAAATTATATACATATATTATAAACATAAGATTTATAGTATATACCAGTGTTTCCCAACCGGGGTGCCACGGCACCCTGGGGCGCCATCTGTCGAGAGCAGGGGTGCCGTGTAAAAAATCTTTTTTTAATATTTTTAAATTGCTAAAATGTTCATAAAAGCAGCTATTATATAATATCCATTTCTAATGTCACCAATAATTAGAGATGCACTGAAATTCCGGCTGCCGAAAATTAGTTCACCGCTCAGGATTCACTTTCACGTGGTGTGACGCTCTGCGCATTATCCCACTCTATGCGTGTGAGCTCCGCTCAGTCGCTCACGGCCCATGTGAGTGCTCCACTCATATACCGTTCATGTTCATTGGAACAGCAAAGTCCACTCAAAAATCAAGCTGACAGGAAACATCTATGTAGTACAGTATTGTTTCTGTTTGCAATAGCCCTACTGTGCTGTAACAAGGTGTGGTAAATGGGCAACTCTGGTAATGCTGCCCTCTCATTCATTGATCTGCTAACCGTTATGCTCAAGGGCCTCTGATAATAATAGCTTTCTAGGATTAAACATTATTTGGATAATTGGTAAAAAAAAAAAAAA